TACATTTTCTATATATGTTGAAGAGTGCAGACATCATTAATATTGTATGGATGTAATCACAATAGAAGGAAAGGGAATAATGCCCTCACTGCCAGTAGTGGAATCATTTGATATCTGGTTGGAACAGAAAGGCATTATGCAGCTGGCTGCAACCTGTGCTAAACACGTTAATAGTCGTATAATAGGAAGTAAGTATATTACGTTAGCCCAGTGGTAGCCAAACTGCGGCCCTCCAGCTGTGGGGAAACTACAAATACTATCATGCATCTGCTTCAGTAGGCCATGCCTGTGGCTGTCAGAGACTTGCAATGCCTAATGGTACTTGTAGTTTCATCACAGCTGGAGGGCCGCAGTTTGGCTACCCCTGCGTTAGCCTTTTCTCCAGTGCTAACGAAAAGATTTGACAGACAAGCACAGCAATCTACTTGTTTTACTAAACTCCTAAAAGACTTGGGACACCAAGATCTGATATTTCAGATTTTGGTGGCAGCTGATAGACTGTGTCAGCTTTTAACTTCCCTAATCATTTCAGGACTGTAGTTGTGAGAGATCTCCTCCAGTAATTCCTAAACCTGCTTCATCTGTGTTGGATTTTTATTTTTTCTACTGCAGCATTTGAAGGATAAGTGTTGGGAGAGTAAAACATACTTTTCCCAATACTTAGAGCCGGCACTGCAGCTGTCACACCCCAGCTCCATACATCAAGAGCTAAGTGATCATGAAACGCTGATGGCTCAGCTCACGGCTTCTTCTTACAGAGAGTAGAGACTGTGGGGTTGATTTACTAACCTTATAAACACACCACGAACATGTATACACCTCTGTAGTGTGTTCCCTCCCAGCATGATCTATGGGTGGAATCTAAACACCTTTGTAGTGTGTACACACCCAGCAGGTGTGTTGTGCAAAGCCCTGCATGAATTACAAGGTGATGTTCTGTAAATTAGCTCTATGTTGTGTTGCTTGCGTTGATGAATGCAGGAATGTAAATGCATGAGCTAACCATTTTTGTCTAAACTGTGAAGCAGCATTATATATGCATCATGTGCATGATTTTTCCATATATGGCATTAGTGGAAATATGCTTTTAGAGACTTTTTGGTTGATAAATACGTTTTGCTGTGTGAAAATCACACGCACCTGGTGCGTGCGTGTGTTTAGGTTAGTAAATCACCCCCTGTCAGTCACTGCTCCCAACAGGGATTCCCCCTTCTGCTCCTACAGTGCTTACTGATGGGACAGACAGGGGATGGGCACAGTTGTCTCTGGCTCTGCAGAGGCAGAGCAAACTGTCAATCAAGCAGCCGGGTGGATCCTGACGATAAGCCTTCCCAGCTGCAGGGCGGCTGAGTTGTTAGCTGGTAGTGGGCAGTAGTCAACTAGATGCTGACTTTGGGTCACAGGACTACATTAGTAAATGCCCTCCTGTGACCCAAAAGAGAAGTAAAGCCAAAAAAAGGTTTGGGTCTACTTCTCTTTTAAATGTTGCTGGCCCTTGATCTTACATCTGAACTCCAAGAAGAGTTGGAGAACACCGAATAATGCAGTTATGTATGCATTAAAAAGTATAGTGTAAGTGCTTAAACTTGTCTTGATATAAGCTTCCTGTAATCCACGGACATTTCTAGAATCCTCAAAGACCAGGGGCACTTCTAAGCACACAAATGAAAATTTTGAGGTGCTGTTAGGATACCATGTTGACCGGTTTGGATCAAATCTGAGTCTAAAGGTGGCCATACACTATATAATCGTATTTTACAATCTCTGTACAATCTCCTTTCGATTTTCCAAAACTATGCAACATAAGGACAAACTAAACAATCCATTCAATTTTTATCAAATGAGTCAGGCTCTTGCACTACATAGTTGATGGTAGATCTAAAGTCGATTACTATACAATCAGATTGTGTAGTGTATGCCCAGCTTTAGGCTGATATATTCTTTTTCACTGAACAAAAATGAAATGGTCTAAAAACTGAAATATCACATTATGATGAAATGTCTGAAATAAAAATTAAAATGCATTATCATTGCTTAAAAAAAAAAATCCTAATGGAATAATAATTAGATAAATTAAACAAAGTTACAAAACTGGATTATGCATAAAATGTATTATCTCCATAGCTCGATGGAGAACCAGGGCACTTGGTAGGAGACCTGAGGCACAAGCCCTGGGTGCCAGGGTCTAGCAACACGCCTGCTGTAATCCTTTTAGAGCAGGACCTTGGCTAGGAGAGGAGTAGCACTAACAGCCAATTAGTTGCTGCTGCAGTGCTCATTTCTGATGGTAGACATGCTTAGAGACTAACTGTTAAGCAAAATAAGCATAAGATATCTATATCTGACTTAATGCACCAGACTCCGTCTAAAGCTAGAAGTCCCTTCTGTGTGAACTGGTCCTTTAAATATCCTAGCTATGGAAGCAAGGCTTTGAATATTTACCGCAAAGAATAATCTGGCTACATGAAAACACTTCTGGTCTTTTATGACAAAGCAGTGAAAAGTACAATGGGGGATTTATCAAAACTGGAACAGACTGATTCTGGAGTAGTTGCCAATATTAACCAGTCAGCTTCTCTCTTCAGTTTGTTCAGTTAAGCTTTGAAAATTAAAGATAGAAGTTGATTGTTTACCATGGGCAACTCCTCCATATTCTCCCTGCTCCAGTTTTGATAAATTCCCCTCAATGTCTATGTGCAACATATGGATTCAAGTTACCTGAATCAAATATATAAAAGATTACTTGCTATAAGTATTGTGTGTTGTTTCTAATAAATAAGAATAATGTTTTTATAAAATCCTGTAGCTAGTTTCATCCCCTGAAGTTCTTATACAATTTGTGTTATTTTACAGACACAGATCCAAACAGTGGAAGCTACAACAACCTCTCTAGTGGGACAAGTTACTACAGCTGTGTCAGTCAGATCACTATAGGTAAGAAAGAATATGAATATATGATAACTGTAAACAAATTGTTGCATAGGTACCTCTGAGAAAAATGGCACCACACCCCTAATATAACATGTTAGGACAAGGAAAGATTTTTCGTTTGCCAAGTGACGTAGTCAGAAAATAGTTAGATACAAAATAGACTTTATTAAATCACATCATAAAAAGTTTAAAAAAAAAAAAACCCCTTTGAGATAAAATTTGATGTACATTATACTGGCACAAACATAAAACCACCAAATACCACTCCAGAGAGTAATATTCAATACATAATTGTTCAGTTGATTGTACAATAGCTCATTTTAATATTGAGATGGAGTGGTTAACAATTCTACGCATTTCATGCTTCTCGCGCTTCTTCAGGAATTTTCTGGTTTGGAGGAAGTCTAAAGTGTCCACAAAAAGACTGGTAAGTATCACAACATATTGAGTTATACCAAAAAGGATTTGGCACTTCTTGGAAGGATGAGGGAGACATCATTGATCTGATATGGCCTCCTGGGATCCTGGGTTTAAATGAACTTGGGTTCGGTCTCAACCCAAGCTTATCCATAATACTGCCTTTGCCTGAAGAGAACACCATTTCAACACCACTAAAAGAAAGCAAGGACATGTCTCCCTCATGCTTCCAAGAAGTGCTTAGATATATTACAGCAGGGAGTTGGCAACCTTGGCACTCCAGCTGCTGTAGAGCTACAAGTCTCATGAGGCATTGCTTGACTGACAACCACAGCCATAACTCCCAGAGAATGAAGCAAGATGGGATTTGTCACTTCACCACAGCTGGAATGCTGAGGTTGCCTACCCATGCATTAGGGATTCATGAAGGATTCACATTATACCTGTCACAATAGTGCTGCTTTATTCTAGTGGAAAAGAAAAAGTCTACTCTAGAAATTGTTACCACCTGTTACCACAATGCTTGCTAATTAATTATACTATGCGTTGTTACCACAATGCACACATACAGTGGCTACCAATACAACCGTGCTAGAGCATTACTACTACACTCATTCTGTGTTTTGTGGTGCCGAAAATGCTGCATGTGCAGTGCCCGGTGATTCTAAATGAATGTCTGTCTTAATGAAGCATTCCTCAATGTGGAAAAACAGTGATAACCTGATGTTGGACATCTCACAGGATGCCTACTTGATTTTTCGTTGCTTATTACTTGTTTTACAAAGAATGTACCTGCTTATAATTTTTCCAGTGACTTCTGGATTATAGCAGAGTGGGTAGTATGTATATCATGGGCAGGGCTTGAAAAATTTGGCGGTGTCTCACCAGTCAGTCAAAAATTTCACCAGTCAGCATGATCTGACTATAGAGGTCTACAAAATATACTTGCCAGCTTCTATTTCTTTAGTAAATAATGTTTATTTATATTGGTGTCCCACCACTAAAAAATACTGAATAACCAAAATGTTATACATTAAAAGAGAACTATAGGGCAACCTTTTTATCCCATAGTTCTCTTTAGGGTCACGGGAGGACATATACTGACCTCCTCCGGTGACCCAAACCTCAGTATATAGCGGGCTATTGCCCGCTATATTCTGAGAGCACCGCAGCCGGGACAGATCCCGACCATACTGTTGAGATCAACCCAGCTGGCTGATGATCGGGAAGTAAGCGAGCCATGGTATCTGTTTGCTCACTTCATGATCTACAGAGTCGACGTGTGACAGTTTCACATGTCACACGTTGGCTCTAACTATGAGGATGAGTGGAAATCACTCAGCTCATAGTTCTCCTTTAAGACAAAAAATGGTTCCTCTTGTGAATATAGAGGCTGGAGAATATTTTTTTTGCAGGTATTTATCACCTTGTGTAATCACAGTTTTTTTGTTCTGTAGGATTTGAAGTGAATGGGCCAGTTGCAATAGGAATATCCCACTGGAAAACTCCACATGTTCACAATGAGACTTGTCATACCCCGGAACTCTCCCAGCACAATCCTTATGTTCCTTTAAGTCCAGCAACTTGCTCCTTCCTTACACAAATGGACATATCTGAATCTTCTCCAAACTCTTTATCCATGGTACCAAGACTTCCTCACAGCAGCAGTGCAGAGACACTAAGCCAGGACATAGACATCAGCCAGGGTAAGAGCTACACGAAATCCTTGATTAATTAACCTTATAACTGATGTGCCCAAACCGTGAGACTGTGCAGGTATGACAAAAGTGCTTGGCCTGAGTATCTGCTTAGCAAGTTATTTCATTTCTGATCAGTTACAGTACACATGTACTGTAAGATATATCTCATGTTGATATATATTGAAAACCTACATTTTTTTATTTATTTATGTCATAATTGTGGTCATTTAGAGCAGCTATTTTTCCCTGATAAGGAACAAAATAGTTAGTAGTTTTTATAAAGATATAAGGGTGCTTTCCATTTCATGATTTCAGGCTAAGGCCTTAAAGTGATATTAAAGTCAAAATGTTTTAGGATATTCCAAATGCTGCGGAAATTATTATTATTATACAGGATTTATATAGCGTCAACAGTTTGCTCAGTGCTTTACAATGTAAGGAAGACATTACAATTACAATACAATTCAAGACAAGATGGGAAGGAGGCCCCTGCCCCTGAGGGCTTACAGTCAAAAAGGGAGGGGGAAGTGATACATGAGGTTTGAGCTGTGTGGGGATGAATTGTTTGATAAAGTGATGGTTGAGTGGTCAGGTTGTGGTGGGATAGGCTTCCTTGAAGAGATGAGTCTTAAGGGATCGCCTAAAGGCAGAGTGGGAGATAGTCGGATCGGTTGGGGTAGAGAGTTCCATAGGATGGGAGAGGCTCTAGTGAAGTCCTGGAGGCGAGCATGGTGACACCACTATTCAGCAACTGTATCTCTGCAGCTTCCTGTGCCACTTCACTCTAGCCTGCTCAGTGTACCATGAACAAACTTCCTCTGATAGCTGAGGGTATTCCTTTGCTAATGACTCCTGTTAGACGTCTCAAAGAACCTCTCAAACTCCTGCCAATCATATGAAAAGTTGTCCTGAAATCCAGCTATACTTTCTTGTAAAATATTTTAAATAATGCTAGTATATGGAACTTATTTTTGTATTTATATTAGCTTTCCAAATCCCCCTGTACACCAGAGCTCAGAATGAGAAAAAGAGGACAAGCATTGCAACGTGCTGTGAAGCTAACACTGCATGCTTACTTACACTGGGAACAGCTCGGTAATAAACTCATCATTGCCAAAATCAGCAGCCACTGGGTGAGAAGGTGACCAAACTGTGTTGTGTAGGTGTATTAGAGGAAAGAGAAGTCACCTACCTATAATAACAGTATAGTAGAGTTATCTGAACTACAAGAGGTAATGAACACCATTGCTAATATTTGGCAGGCAGTTTGCGTTCATGTATATCAAATGGGTGTAGTTGTGCTGATCAGTGGCGTAACTAGTGACCTCAGGGCCCCATGCAAGAATCCCATGAAGGCCCTTCCCCCTCCCCCCCC